GTCTAGTGCCGTTGCTTTTTCGCAGTTTGATTCTTACTTCTTTCACTTAATTATTAAATTCATTTAGGATGTGGTTGATAGCGAAAAAAGAAATAGAAAAAGAAAAGAGAGCAGAGAATAAAAGTAAATAAGAAATATAGAAAAAACTGAATGAATTACTAGGTACAAGATCTTCTATGCAGCTCTAACTGTTAGAGGGACTACATGTGGGTCTTCAGAGAGTTAGTGTGCAGATGTTAGTAGAAAGATTATTTGGTGGTCTCGATCATATGGTTTTTATCTAATATCTATATGGTATGTAATAAGTATTATTATTTTTTTTTGTAATTTTAAAAATTTAAATATGTATATAGTGATTGATCGAGATTATGAATACTTGATAATCTTATACTACCTAGTAATTTTTTAAATGTTAGGGGCCACTGGTTATTATTCGTTTTCTATTTTTCTTTTGTTTCTCTTTTTAGCTCCATGTAAGAAAAATGTAAAAATTAAGATATATAGTTTGATAAGAAAGAAGTAAAAGATAATACAGGTTAATTTTTAAAACATTATTTAGTTTTAAAATATAAATAAAAATTGTTATTTTATTTATTACTTATTATTATTATTATCATCATTTTAATTTTTAATAAAAAAATTATATATGTACTAATAAAAAAGAGTTACTTCGTGACTCTTAATTTTTTAAAATTAAAATAAATAAAAGAGATAATTGACTATGAAATAAAGAAGAACTTTATGGAAAATACTTGGTATTGAAGTTTAAATAGACTCCTCAATGTCAACAATTTTTTTCATCTGACTTGTCTTTTTATAGATGCCATATAGAAGGTATTTTCCTTGACTACTTTTAAAAAAACTTATAGAATTTTCTTTATTTTTGGAAGCTTTTCCACTATTTTTATTTCCTTTATATACTTTATTCTAAGACCATAATTTTAACTTTTAATTGAAAGACATTTTTGACAATCTTCTTCACACCTTTTCAATATTTTCATATAGGCTTCAAGAGATCTCATCAGTTGTATCATTGGTAAGGTAGACAAATCTTTTGCTTGTTAATCATAGTTGTAATTGCATCATATTTATAGGGAATAAAAATTATAATTTTTTCAACAATTTTTTTGTCAAGAATATTTTTTTCATAGACTCTCATCCGAAAAACTATTTCTTTTATTCTAGAATAGTAATTTTTTATAATCTCAAATTTTTTCATTTTTATTAAGTCAAACTCATGTCTTAGATGCTAAAATTTAACATTGTGTATCAAAATTTCTCCTGTATTGTGTTCCAAGCTCCCTTTGCACTTGTGGTACACATTATTCTTGAAAAAATTGTGTCATTAACTGCTTGTTGAAAAACAAATAATATCTTTAAATTCTTCTGTTTATTTTCTTTTAACTCTTTTCTTTGAGATGCAGTAAGAGTTAAGGTATCTTTTAGAATAATAAAAAATCATAGTTTTTTCCTTAAAAATAAGGATTGAAATAGATGATAGTTAATTGATAATAGTCATATATTCAGAAAAATATTTTGGAAATAGTATAAAATATAGTTATAATTTTTTTAGTAGTTAAAATATATATCTACACTTAATAAATGATCCAACATACCATCGAAAATATATAGCACATAGATATAGTTAGGGGTGTGCAAAAAATCCAAATTGATCCGAACCGATCCATAACCGATCCGATCCATATTAAAAAATCCGATCCATTTTGAAAAAAAATCCGAACCAAATCACTTTATAAACCGGTTCAGTTATCCGATCCATTTTTACAAAGTGGATCGGTTCGGTTCAGTTTGATTTTCTAAAAAAACCGATCCATATATGAGTAAAAAAGTGGATAACTGCACCGCACCGAACCGATCCAATTTAAAAAAAACCGATCCATATTTTAAGAAAACCAAACCGGTCTACTTTATAAAAAATAGATCGGTTAACCGATCCACTTTTATAAAACGGTTCGGTTCGGTTTGGATCGGTTTTTTGAAAAAACCGATCCATGAACACCCTAGATATAGTGAGATGGAATTAGTTAAATAGAAAAAGAAAGGGTGTCGAGGAAACAAGAGACACGAATTTGTAAGGAAGTAGGCAAGTTTCCTTATTTTTGGTTCAAGCACATTACACGATGGTGTAATGCCTATTTATAAGCAAGCTGTACCGACTTATGAATGTCGATCGGTTTATATTTTTTTTTAATTTTTTTACTTCATTCTAGACATTTGGTTTAGAATTATGAAGTATTTTACAACACGGAAGGTTGACTTCTAGTATTTTCTTTTATGTCTATAAATTTCTAAAAAATAATACTTGAGAAATTTGTAGCATCTTTAACATATTTGAGCCATGCTCAAATTCTTTCATTCCATTTAACTGATATAGTTTTCATATACTAGATATTTGTTTATTAATTAACCTGACTCTTACTATTGAAATCTAATTTTATTTTCTTACTTAGGCAGCTTCAGATATGATGTACCGAAAATGTACAAATTTCATGAAAAGAAGGAAGTAGATATTGCTGTGGACCTTTGGCGTTTTGTACCAGCAAGTCATCAAAGCAAAAGTATTTGATGCAGAGAAGGATAGTGTGTATTGGAATAGATGAAAAGATTGCAAGTGAAAAGAGAATTTTTGGGTACCTAAAAAGAAACCTTTTCTATGTAACTAGCTCTTGCTCCTTAAATTGAGATGATGCTGCTACCACTTGTGTGTATCTATTAATTCAATAGATGAGCAAGTTACAGTGCTCTGTCTGCTTATGCATATATACGTACATGGCATCTTCCTGAAGTTGGTTATATAACGGTTTGTCTGATTATCCAACTTGGTGTTGGTAATGAAAAGAGGAAACATTCTTCTACAAAGGTTATGTAGGTATCAAATTCTTATATCTCCAATTTGTCCACACTAAACTTGTCATCATGTAGAATCTCAATGTTATTTATTGCTTTCCTTTTATTTGATTTTTCTCTTTGGACACAAGCCTTCATGTTGGGAGGATGTTGGGATGTGTGTGTGTGTGTTTTTTTTTTTTTTTAAATTTATTTATTAACAGAGATGCATATGTGTAGTTAGAAAGTTAATGAATAATTGTATGTTTGAATACAAGTTTAAAAATATCTTTAGAATTTTTTTATTAAAAAAATATTTTTTATTTAGAGTAGAGAAATTTTTAAAAATATCTTTAACTTGTATGTTTATTTGGATACAAGTTTAGAAAAATTTTAAGAATTTCTCATCTAAAAAATATTTTTTTACTTTTAAATTTTTTTAAATTTTACAGACTTGATTTATACATTAAAAATATTTAATTTAATGATTAGATCATTGAAATTTGATAAAAAAAAATATAAATTATTAAATAAAATAAGTGTAGGTATATTTACTTTTGAAATAAGTGGATCTATTTTTTCTTTCTTTCTTTCTTTCTCTCTCTCTCTCTCTCTCTCTCTCTCTCTCTCTCTCTCTCTATATATATAT